TGGGGCTGGTTGGGAGGGGTCAGGGGGAGCGGGGCTGGCCGTGAGGGGAGCAGGACTGACCCGGGCACATGCAGATCCGAGGGTGCTGCCTGTCCCATGCACGGTCCTGGCGAAGCACGAGCGAGTCCGGCTACGGGTCCATAATGCACTTGAACAGTGCGCAGGAGCATGGACAGGGCTTCTCCTCCTCCCAAGCTGTCACTCCTACGTCAGACACTCCCAGCACCAATCGTGCCCCTCCTCCCAGCCACTCCCCTCGCCCCCGCCAGGCTTCTGTCGGGCACCCAGCTGGAAAACCAGGAAATACCAGACATTGCACATGTCCAGTATTTTCTGTTTTTTTTTACCGGACAGAGGGCCCAAAAACCGGACTGTCCCATTGAATACAGGACACCTGGCAACCCTATCTGCAGAACCAGGTAAGCACCCGGGATTTTCGCCTCCTGGCCAGGAAAAAAAAAAAATCAGAAAATAACGGACATTTTAGGTGTCCAGTATTTTCTGAATTTTTTTTTTACTGGACAGGAGGAGAAAATACCAGACTGTCCGGGTTAATACTGGACATCTGACAACCCTACTAGGCAGGGCTGATTAAGCAGCTGTGGGCTGTGCTGCAGTGGTTTAGAGGAAACCTTGACCTCTGCACAGGCTCTCTTCCAACTCATCAGGAGTTCCCCAGCTTTGGCCAGTCTTCTCCAACAACCTTTTGCTCTACTCATATAGCTCTCTGTAACAGCTCACTGCTGCCACTGTCAGGAACTCTCTTTTCCTGCTCAAGCAGCTCTCATCTGCCCCTCTCTGCTTCTATCAGGTTGCTCTGTCTTACTAGGTCTCTCTCCCATAGAGCCCACATGCCCTGTTTTAAGCCCCAGTGAGCAATTATTGGTGTGCTGGCCTTCTCTCGCGTAAAAAGGGTCAGAATCACTTTGATAGGAAGGTCTCTAATACAAACTGTGAGACCCCTAATCCCAGCCATTTTCTTTCTGGCTGAGGAGAACTGAATATTTTGGAAAGGCAGTCATTTCTGCTGCATTTGGTAGGACTGCTACTTGCAGTTGAATTTGTGCATGTAGATTCCCAAGCAAATGTTTATTCACAGAAAATTGCATGTGCAAATTCTGAAGTCCTATGGAATGTTCTGAGCCTCACGTAACAAATTTTAAGTAACTTCCACCTGAAAGTTGCTTGCCTGCAGATGTTTCACAACAGACACCTGACACCATTATTTTCCAAATTTCTGTGTGTGTGTTCTGTACCAGGGCAGTATTCAGCGCTATAAAAAGCATTTTCTTTGTTATTCTTCATTTGTCCTTCATTACTTTAGACAGGAATCCCAGCATTTAAGGTTTCGTACCTGGATACCAGGTTTGTGTGCTGATATTAGGTCCCTCACCATTCTGACCTCAGACACTGTCACACCACCAACCATATACAAAATCAGGAGAGGATGATCCTTGGGGTGAGGACGACTCACCTATAAAACAACAGAAAGCATTATTCACATTGCATCCATTTATTTTGAAATACAAGTGTTCTTGACTACAAAGCTGCACGTGGCATATGATAAACAACATAATGCAATGGCTATTTATGACTGATCGAGATGGAGTACTGAAGGATCAAAAGGAAACTCTGAAGTGATTTTTTTAAATGCTGTTTTCTCTGGAAGTTGGATAGAAAATTAAAGAGATGCTGGCAAGTTAAAAGTCACTGGAACAATATGTAGATGTGGCATATTCACAGGTCTCACTGAGGTCAAAGGGAGTGTGTGTGCTTAGCAGACCTTAGAATCAAGCCAATGACTTTCAATAGATCAAATGTGCTTACATACATTACCTTATATTGTGGAATCTGAATTACAAGTGTCTAATGTGCTTTGTATCATTTAGATGAATTACCCTTTGCAATTCCTCCAGCATAAACACATTAGTCCATCTACTTTAATTTAAAAATCAGACTTCAGACAGTTTTAGTTTAGTTTTCTCCTGCAGTAGAACAACACTGCAGTGTTTGGGTTGCAACCACTGGTTAGGACATTTAAGAGCAAACAAAATACTGTTTTCATTTAAAAATAAACAAAGTAAGTATTCATCTTTATCTTCATTGTTTACATTTAGCACATTCTACTGGTGCAATTAGCTTGCTTATTTTGCTGTTTTCTACAGTTATGTTTTGATAGGAGTCATTCATTGAGATCATCCTGGGGCAGACTCAGCAATCCCTCTTCTTGTAACATCACATCCCTATGCATGCGGCTCCAGACATTTGGTTCTGAGGACTGAGAAGAGCTTAATTTGTTTTTTTCGTTGTTTTTGCCAACCGTCAGTCTATAAAATGAAAGTAGCAATCTATGTGTAGGCGGAGCATGGTTCCATTTCCTTTCACCACCCACAGCCTCTCTCTGATCCTGATGGCTCCAGCTCCCCGGAGTACAGCTCCTCCTCTATTTTCTATTGTGCCTCTCTTATATTTAGTCCTTGGGCTGTTTCTTTGCCAGCAATCCAATTCATGATTTCCCTTCTGGATCTGACTGGCAGTCTGCAGAAGGGGAGGCTCCCTCTGAGGTTTTTCCCTTTGAAACTAGCAGGAGGTTTCCAAGCTCTCCAAGCAAAGTGCCTTTGATAAACCGGTGGGTTCAATCAAGTGCTGCTCCCAGGTGCAGAGCTGTTGGGCTCATCAGGGGTTTGAAATTAGGGCAGATAATTTACATACTGCCAGTGCCTGAACAGGGTGTCTGTGTGTGATGTTTAGTCTCCTAGCCTTCCCTCATTCATCTTTATTCTGCGGGCAGCAGAAGCAAATGCAATTGTCACATAATCATGTCTACCCCCCAATTCAAGAACTTCATGCAGCTCCTTTCCAGTGAAACCCACAATCCACCAGTAGGTCAATAGTCAGTACAATGGCTTCATAAAATGCATTGCTATCCATAATAAAATACCAAATCCATTCTTATTACAAATAGTGTAAGGAGTTCAAGTAAAGTGTAAACAGTTGAATAAAAATTGGCCCAATAGGATCATAAAATTAGCTTAAGTGCTGGAGAATTACAAGGAGTTTACAGTGAACTGCATGGGCAACTGCCACAACGCTGAAGAACAAACTGTTCATAAAGCTGGTAAACATGAAGACTGGCCAACCGGCTGTGCTAGGGTACTCCTATGCAGTACAAGAACTATTAGTTGTCAGCCGAAAGGCTAGCAATGAATAAACTTTACATGGCTGCTTCTTACTTCTTAGTGTTATTTTAGCTGACACACAGAATAAAGATGATGATCAAAAAGTAAGATTCGAATAATTTATGCTTCAGATATTCACCTCAGAATGTCCTCCTTAAGAAATTCATCTGGGGACTAAGAAACTCATTGTAAACATGTATGTACAAAACCTACAACTTATTAAAAGGTTACTAAATGTAACCTTTCACAGATACAGAAAAGGAGAAAAAATTTGACAAATCATTTCCATCAGTCAAAATAAGCTTCTATCCAAACACATGGTTCATATCTAAAATGTATTATTTTTCAGAAAACTAAAATTTAAACCACAAATTCCAGAAATGCATATTAAAAAATACCAACTATTAGACATGCAAGCTCTAAATTAAATTAAAGTTGTCATGAAAAGGGCTTGGAACCTGTAATTTTATTATACTATTCACAAGTGCTTTGGAGGAGGACAATACTTTGGGTACAAAATATTTGTGTTAAGAATGTGTGTTTCTGCCAACATTTTTCCATTTGATAATACCACCACCCAAGGCTCTCTCTTTTGATGAGACTAGCTCCATGTGGCTAAACACAACCCAATTCTGTGTTACAGAAGAATAAAAATGAACCATAACAAAAAGCAACATACATTCTGTCATGCTGCTACAAACTATGCTTAGTGAAGATTGGAGGGTTTTTTTAACTCTCTCAATATAGCACACGCTCTTCACCAGTTTATTTCATGAGGTTTTCAAGTCTTCAAAAACTTGTTTTTTAATATGAAATGTCAATGACCCCCAAAAAATTTTGCAAATCACCTACAGAAATATACTTCAAAACATCCAGATTTAGAAATTTTGCAATAGAAAAATAATTAGAGCTCAAGATGGCAACCACCGTTGGTAATTTTGGTTGGTGAAGAGAAGACAAAGACGACAAGGCAGCACTCAGAAAGTCTCCTCTCAGAGGCACATGCAGAGATGCATGCTTGGTAAGATGGTTATAAAAGTGGCCAGGGACACACACACTTTGACTCAACCTCCAGAGGTAGCCTGGTATGATAGAAATACATACCAGGCCCAGGTCTTGCAAACACCATGGACAAGATGTATAACTTGTCATCACAAATGTGGGCAGATAAAGGAGGAGAAATGAGATTGATAGTGCAAGCATGACGCTTACGATTACGGGCATTATTGATGTAGTATGGCAGCACAGCAGTTCCCAACTGCCGGTCCGCAGACTGGTGCCAGTCCGCGAACCGCTGGCTGCTGAGCACAGTGGTTCTGGGGGCTAGGGCTGGGGTACTCTACATAGCACCTCCCCTTCTGCTGCAGCTGTTGGGAGAGGTGTGTCCTACCCAGCCTCTCAGCCAACCAGCGGTGGGCAGGGGT